TATATATATATATATATATATATATATATATATAAAGAGAGAGAAAGAGAGAGAGATAGAGGAGTAGATATACACCGCTCATAAGACGTTCGAACGTTTAATTAGCAGAAATTAATTACTGTCCGCAAGAAACATATTGATTTGATCATTCTCTCTCTCTCTCTCTCTTTTTTTCTCACTCGTATCTTTCTCTCTCTCTTTCTCACACACACACACACATATATATATATATATATATATACTCAGATCTTTCTATCTCTCTTTCTTTCTTAAACATTTCTACTGCCACCTCCACCGCGCGAATATGGCGAACTGGTTACGATACGCGAAATGGCCTCGCGATATCTCGCGAGAGAAAAAAGGAAAAAGAAAAAGAAGAAAAAGAAGAAGGGGGAGGAAAATAAAGAAGAGCTTAATGACACGTTCCATTCGTATTTCACACACGACCTTTATTTTGTGTGTTCTTTATTTAAAATGTTCTTTTTCTTTTGTATCTTTTGGAAAAGGTAATAGAAGAACACGTCGTCTGTTATCAAACGATAACCTTTTCCAAAATCGTTTCTCAACGACTCTGTGAGATAAAATGTGATCTCGAAACAATTCGACAATTTTCAAGAATTTTCCTAACTTATGCTAATGACTAATTTATACGAATCTCGTTTGTGTCCGATCTTTCTTTCGTTTTTATTTATTTTTAAATGATTTCGATATTAACGTATTGATTTATCGAAATTCTTTTTTTTTTTCTCCTAAGCGAATTAAATTTAAATTTGTGAATTTTTCTATAAAAGCATGGAAACAAAAATTAACGACTCTTATATGGTACAATCTATTTCTCATTATTTCTTCATTTCTTTCTCTCGATATTGGTGATTATTTGCATTTCTTATTTCGTACAGTGTAAGACAATCAACTAGCAAATCTTCGTCGTCGTCGTCGTCGTCGTCGTTGTCGTCGTCGTCCTCGTCGTCGTAGTTGTCGTTGTCGTCATCGATAAGAGCCAAAGATAAATTTCCTTCTAGAGGCCGTTCAACATTTAATTAGCAGAAATTAATTAGCGTCCCGTAGAAACATATTGATCGGTTATGTGCACGGAATAACCGAGTCTTAAAAGAGAGAGGAGAGAGAGAGAGAGAGAGTGAAAGAGAAAGAGAAAAAAGAAAAAGAGAGGTTAACCAAGCACGTTCGGTATACACGAAATGGGGGAAGAGATGCTAGCACGAGAATGGAAGACGTAATACCCGATGTCGCGACAGGTCCGCTCGACAATGCCGGCTCAGGCCTCTTTCCTTTTTTGTCGATCGTCGATCGTTAATTAGCGCTCGGAATCCACGCTTGTCCCCCTTCGTTTGCCACGAAATCGTCATCGCTTCGTCGAACAATATTACACGAAAAAAGCTTTTTAGTTTCCGATTCCCTAATAAGACCCAAAGAATCCTATTTCACAATCATTCAAAAATTGGATCAAATATTTCTATACTACGATATTCAATTTATCCACTAACTCTCGTTACTTGAATTTGTCCAAATCTTTCAACTCGTCAAACTTGAATTTTTGTTTTGTTTTTTGAGACGTCAATCAAATATATATATATATATGTATATTGTTATTCGATTGATTTATCAATCATTTAGGAGTTTATTATAAAATAACATATAACAGTTATTTATAAATATTTACAAATATTACAATTTGTAATTTATTTAAGAATATTGCTAACTTGTCAAACTGAAATTTCTTAAATCGAATTAAAATATTTTTAATTATTTTATAATAACAACGTATCGTTTTACTCGACAGCTAAGAATAATAAGATACAATCATTTAAAATAATAAATGATAATTAACAAAAAAAAAAATCATAGAATAATCATATCCCATCATGTAAATAAATGCCATTTTATTGTAACAAATGTATAATTAATTTATCCAATTTTGTTTTAAATTTAATTAACATGGAATTTCATTTGATTACAGGTGATTTAAGATTACCAGGTCCAGGACCAGGTCCAGTACGTTGCACCCTACGGAAGCATAAACCAAATAGAAAACCGAGGACACCGTTCACAACGCAGCAGCTGTTGTCTTTGGAGAAAAAATTTCGAGAGAAGCAATACTTGACGATAGCAGAACGTGCGGAATTCTCTTCGTCCCTTCATCTCACGGAAACGCAGGTGAGAGAGACTCCTCAAAGGATATGATCAACATAGTAGTTATTTAGATTACAATATACTATCATGAATATTATTCTTATTTATATAGATATGTGTATGTGTTTAATGTATATAAGTATCATTGATGTTATCTGGTGTATGTACTTGAACCTGAACAAGATAAATGCGATGCATAAATTATTTTAACTAGTACGACCACACGTTATACGTATAAACCATCTATCCATATGTTAATAATATAAACATACATATACTCACATAATCAAATATACGTCTATACATTCATATATAAATGATCGTTTAGAATATGAAGTAGAATTATTGAATAAACGACGACTCATTTTATCGCGATTCTGAATCCTATTAGAATAATTATCGTAATAGTAGAGATAAAAATGAATCAACGTAACCAAAGTAGTATTTGATCAGTCAAAAAAATTCAGTTCAACGTTTCTAGAATAAATTTATTATAAAAATCAATCCTTAGTAATTATTTATTTAAATCCGACAAAGGACAAAAGAGAAAATAATACAAACAAAAGAGAAGAAGAAGAAGAAGAAGAAGAAAAGAGAAGCGTACAATTATTATTAATTGATAATAAATAAATGCGATGACAGAGATAGGAGCAATAAAAAATTAGTTTTTTAATAGGTGAAACGTGTGTGAAGGATGGATCAAAACACGATGTTACAAAATTATCATAATTATTATCGAAAGGATCTGTAAAGAAGATAAACAAGGCACCTTGTAAGGTTTCTTCCCTTCTTCGTAGTATATCTTCCTTCTTTTTATTTATCCTTCATTATTTTTTTTTTCTCCATTCATTTTTTTTCACGTTTCCTTTACCTTCAAGGGATCGGAAAGAAAAAAAAAAAAAAGAAAGAAAAGAAAAAAGAAAGAAGCCATCAGCGTATTTATTTCAGGTAGTGTGTTTGCCTTTCCTTATGACTCGTGTTAAGCGTCGAGAAGAGAGAGAAGCATAGTTGTATGAACGTTATCGCATGGCTAGCGTGTTAAGATACACTTTGCGCATTCATTACAATGAATCAGACGAAATGAAGCTTCGTCGCATTCATTTGCTTAGATAAGCAACGATCATCACTTAACTTCTCTCTTTCTCTCTCTTACGCTCAAGAAATCCCCTTTTGCACACTACCTACGTATACAAACATACACACACACACACACATTTTGCATGCTTCTATGTATATTATGTGTTTAGTATGTATGGTGAACATAATGGACAATATTTTTGTTACCTTTCATTCTTGAGAAAAAAGAATGGGTTGACCATTTAAATTGCACGACTGTTCTTCTGTTAATTTACAATATCTTAAACCGAACAAGAAGATTTTAATTAAGAAAAAAAAAGAAAAAGATCATAATTAAAATAGATCGAAGAATTAATTTCTAATGTTTATGATCAATTGTCGATATTTTGGGTTATATCTTTTGTTTGTAAAATATTACATTTCATTGAATAATAATTATTTTTATTCCTAATTATCATCTTTCAATCTTATTAAAAGATACTAACATGTGTATCTTTTTTTGTTGAAATTAATTATATTGCTTCTCATAGAAATCAATCAATGAAGAACGTATCAATTCTTGATTATCTTTTAATCATATTCAAAGATACTTATATACGCCCGTTTCTTTTTTATATTTTATTTTTCTTTCTCCTTTTTCTTTTTTTTTTTTATACACAATATCAGCTGGCTAGAATCGATCTATGAAAAGAACGTATTGATTAGCAATTAAAAAAGAAAATAATCGTCGAGTAAACATAGCCGGAAATTATTTATCATTTTTTTTTTTATAAACTTTATAGTAAATTTGACACGTCGTTGCGTTCACGAGAGCCTTTCCAACTCACGGCCGACTTAACCATTTCCTTAGACACACACAGACAGACAGACAAACAGACAGACAGATACGTATATGTATATGTATATACATAGATAGCCAGTCCCGACAGTTTCTACGATACCTAATCCGTTCGTTACTTTCACCTATTTGAAACTACTAATTACGAGCTATATAACACCCGCAGCAAAATCGCACGCGATCGTACGCGTTCTCTCATATTTGGCTTAGGTCGTTCTCGTACGCCTCATCGTCGTGTTAACAGCGTGTTAACAACCACGTAGACGTTATTCGTTAACGCGTTACCCATAATCATAGCAGATACCTATTCAACCACGTTCATACTCTTCCATACAAATCCGAGCCAGGACGTCATAAGGAAAGATAATTTTACAATTTTTTGGTTTCTCCAATTATTTAAAATCCTCTAAATGCTATACAAAATGAAAAAGTATACTATATTGTTTTCAATTATTACGATATAATTATTCTTAGAATTAATTTTGCATCGCAAATTAATGCACAACGGGTGCTGGCTGTATCAAAATCCAAATCAAAAATAAAACAAACGTTGTATCGAATAAAATAATTTAGAATTTATTAAGATAATGAAAAAAAATGTATCCCAAAAATGAACAAATAAAAAAAGAATATTATCTGAGATTAATGAGACAATTATTCGTACGACGCTATTATCGTTTTAACTCTAAATCTCCAAAATATGAAACAAATTCGAATGAAATTTCTAATCTCACTTTTCCAAAATATTTTCTAATAAATTGAAGAAGAAAAAAAGATAATGAACTAATGTTAAAAGAAATAAAAACACGAAGATTAGTACCCGTTTGACCGGGCCCTTTCTGCTTGTATATTTTCCAGGTGAAGATCTGGTTTCAAAACAGACGAGCGAAAGCGAAGAGATTGCAAGAGGCTGAAATCGAGAAGCTACGACTTTCGGCAAGGCCCTTATTGCACCCAAGTTTCGGTTCGGGCCTGATGTTCTCGGGCGTTGGTCCTCCTGGTACACCAGGAGTGCCACCCTTTATCGCAGCGGCCATGGCTAGGCACACCCATGCTGCTGCCGCGGCGGCCATGTTCATGGGGCCCCCTGGACACAGGCCTTAATAAGGCGGACTCGTTCGACCTTCGTCGTCTCTCTTACTTGGCCAACGACGAGTCAGCTAACAGTTTTAGTTGCTTCAACGAACTCTCCTTGAGAAGAGGATATTTGTTGTGTATCTTCGAGAAAGGTCCACTTTTTCTTTTCAATCCAACTCTCTTTCCAATTGTCCACTCTTTTTCTTTATTCCCATCCACTTTCAATTTATATTCTCTCACGTTGTCTTTTTTTTTTTGGTTTCCTTTTTAATCCATTTACCATTTCTCGACGGACATCGAACAATAATTTCGATTGTTAACGTTAAGTTAACGTGAAAAATTTTCCAATTACATTTTCAAAAAGATCGAGAAACATCGTCGTCTTGGAAACCTGCTGGACTACAACCTGAGAGAAAAGTTTCTACCAAATTTGAAAATAGAAGAACCAAACGTGTGAAATCCAATTACGCGTTACGAAATAACTTTGCACCGTATAGGCATACCATCGGCCAATAACAACCCACACATAATCTTGATCCTTATTATTACTATTACTATCTTTTCTTTACATATGTATATATATTTAATCGAAGAAAAGTATCATCGCCTTTTGTGCCTCCTCGGTGATGCACCATTTTAAACCGTGGTGGTAAACCATCACCACCACCACCACCCACCCCTCATCAACCCCCAGCCGCCGTGGACTTAAATTACTTGACATTTATTTGTGTTCGACAAGAAAATTGTGATCGATTGTGAACTCGTGTTTCTCTCTTAGCATTTATTCGTGGCATTTTAATGGTGGTCTTACATTAGAATGGAAAATAAAGGGGTAAGAAAAGAAGGAGAAACGGTAGAGGAAAATGATGGGAGCGATGTGAAAATAAAAACAAAACGAACGAAAAAAAATCATGCACATAATTGTAAATAATTGTTCGTTCGGTCGATAATCGCTAGGAATGCACGTATGCGTGTCGTACGTATGTGTGTACGTGAGTGTACTTATGTATATAAACGAGTGTATAATACGTTCGATTTCGATGCAATTTCAAAAAGTAATCGCGATTAATCTAAATCAAATGAAAAAGACAAAATATAAATGAAAAAAAAAAAAAATAAATAAAAACGCGATATTCGTTCTCATTTTGATGCATATTTATTTATGTATTTAGAGAAATCGAATTTTTACGAATAGAGAAAAAGATTAACTTTAGTATCTTTTAAACGAAATAATAAATAAACAGAACTGACCTGTGAACTTGTAATAACAGTAGCTCAGAAAAAGACCTGATAATCGTTTACGTTTAAAGTGCGTTATATTTCGAAGTGTAAATAATGTGTAAAAGATAAAAATTGAAGAATCTCTTTTATTACGAAGAAACATGTGATTGATTCTTCTAATTTGCTGGAAAACGAAAGAGAACAAATCTAAAGAATAATTTTTCGCGTGTGTAAATAAATAAATATATAATCCGAGTAAGAAAGATGTGTGTACGATTCATGTGTGTCCTCTTTCGTTTGTCCGTGTGTGTGTGTCTTCGTTTTTAGTATGAGTGAGAGAGAGAGAGAGAGAGAGAGAAAAGTGAAAATTGGGAAATAAACATGTAAATTATGTAATATCTACGTGTACGATCATCACATTGAAAGATCCTTTGGTAGTAAAAAAAAAAAAAAAACAAAAGGAATGGAAAAAAACTGAGAATGAATTTTAAGATTAAAAAAAATCTAATTAAAAAACGTAAATCGCGCGACGTGAATTTAAACAAACGATAGCAAAACTTTTGCTCTGTATAAATGTAACATGATAATTTATCCACAAGAAATACACACACATAAAAACACACACATACATATTATATATAGTGAGAAAATAAAAAACAAACAAATCTGATTTCAAATTATTCAATCTATCCAAATATATTATATTACATATGAAAGTTGTTTTATGTTGGACAGTTATAACATATATATATATATACATATGATCAGTAATTTTTCCAACTAATAGATCATAATTTAAATCGAGTTTACGTTCGGTGATCGTTGAAGCATTGCAACCGGGTAATTAAGATGTTCAGTCAATTTGAAAAAAAAAAGAAAAAAGCAAAAAAAAAAGAATTATAAGAGAAAATGGAGTGTCTGTTGGCAAACGACGACGGGTAGGTTGATGACGTTTTAAGAAACGCGTTAACAATGACCGTATCGCAACGTCATCGAGGGTTGCGGTGTGGAAGATTGGTAAAAGGAGAAAGAAAGAAAACGTCTGGAAAGAGAAAGAGGGAGAGAAAAATTCAGTGGGCTTATATTACAGGTTTCTCAATGAAAAAAAAAAAAAAAAAGAAAGAGAGAGAGAGGGAGGAAGATAGACAAAAAGAGAGAGAGAGAGAGAGAGAGAGAAAGAGGTTTGCGGCTGGTATAAGGCAGCCGAAAGTGTCCGGTAGATAATTAGAAATATGTTAATTCGCCGTGGCCGCTAATTGGTTTTTGACTAAATTTTTTAATTAAGTCCTAAAGCCGGGCGGCGCGCTGATTTATCGACGGCAACCGCCGGCTAATTATAAAATATATATATATATATATATATATATATATACTAGGGATATATCCTTTTTTTAATCTGTGTATACTTATATACGTATATATATATATCTATATTTATATATATACATATTATATATACATACTTACGAGAAAAGAAAACATACAGACACACACACGTATATGTGCGTGTATATAAATATATAATTTCGCCAACGCGTTCCTTCGTTTCATCGTTATCATCGTCGTACGTTTCGTACGCTAGTTTTGTGCACCTGTCTCTTCGTCGAAAGAAATCGTCAGAATTCAATGGCGTCAAATTCGATCATATTTTAAAAATACGAGGAAACATATTTTCTTATTTGTTTAATCGAACACGAGATTTATTATTATTATTATTATTATTATTATTATTAACGAATATTATTTTTTTAATATATAAGTTTCAAAGGGAATTATAGATAGTTAATAAATCTGATGAACAATTTATTTTGAACTTGTTGAACGTTTCGTCCCTTACTGGGGACTTCCTMAGCAACTACAAAATTTTTTATTATGACTTGTTAAAATTTATTATTTTTTTAATTTAATTATCAATATTCTTGTCCAAACAATATATTAATTTTTTTATTCTCGCGAATTTGTAGATACGTCGATTATTTTCTTCTCGTGATATTTTTATGAATACGCCTCTAATATTGTTTGATTATTATTTAATCATAATTACGATGCCGATAGCAGATGATTCATGATTATAAAAAAGGAAAAATATTCTAAGGTAAGAAATAATTATAAGAAAAAGAAAGGAAAATTATGTTAGAAAAAGGGACGCCTATGTGATCCACGTGTACGTGTTCACGCAGACTTACTCATCTTTCCTATCTGTAAAAGGTCTAAGCTGAGAAGGTAGAAAGAGAGATGAAGAGAGAAAATGAGAGAGAAGAAAATGAGAGAGAAGAAAAAGAGAGATCCGTTGTTTCTTGGGTAGAGAGAAACGATCAAAGAGATTCGCCGGCCTCTTTGAATCTTTCATCCGCGGCTCGTAACTGTCCTCTCTCTCTCTCTCTCTCTCTCTCTCTCTCGTCGAAGACCGGTAGCCTAATTGTTCTTCTCCGCTAATATATCTACAGGTAATAACAAGACGGTAAAACGTAAGACTCAAGGATATATACCCAACTAATAATTAACCAGTTGAGCGTATATCATTTGAAATAAGTAAATAAGAAATAATGAAAACGAAAAAAAAAAAAAAGAATAATAATATATAATATTTCTAATGAAAGTATATATATAAACGAATGTGAAGATTTTTCTTGGATATCCAAGAAGATGATTTACTTCATCATTAATGACCAAGATGGAAAAGAAAAAAAAGAGAAATAAATGAAGCTTTAAAAAAGGATTTACAAAGAGACGGGGCGCCAGGTAAAAGGTATTTGTTGGTAGATCGATTGACAACAATGGACATATAAGTAGTTAGCTAAGTTTTTCAAATAAGACTACAAACACCCTCACTTTCTTCTTTTCTCTTCTTAGATACTGTGATAACAAAATAAGATGAAATAACGAGTTATATACAAGTTCGAAAAGAGAGAGTCAGCATATAGAAACTATCCAATCCGATATCGGATCCTATCAAATCCTACCCTATACTATATCCTTTCCATATAGATCGAAATTTATGTATGTAGGATCCCGAGTGATCCTACGCATGTGGTCACATTGAGACCGCTGACAATTAATTAAAGAATAATTTCTTGTCTTGGCGATACCCGGAGGAGCGTCGTAGTCGTCGCCAGTTGGCGGCCAATTATGCCCTCGGACGCAAACGGAATACCAAACAGCCCCCCGTTCTCTCAAAGACATCGAACGCCGTCTGCTACTACTTTTGCTTCTGCTGAGTCTGTTGTTGCTGCTTCTGCTACTGCCTCTGCTATTGCTACTGCTGTTGCTGTTGCTACTTTCGCCATAGTCCGTCTCTACTTCGCCATCGCTGTGGACTACTCGTCTTCTTCCTATTCCTCTTCCTCCTCCAATTCTTCTTCTTCTTCTTCTTCTACTACTATTCCTTTCTCTCCTCTTTTGATCCATCTAAGCCCCCTCCCTACCCACTCCTCATGATTCCTATCCCTTCGTAGACCTCGATCGGAAACTCGCTGATGTGAGATTCGATCGTAACTCCAAGAGAAACGATCGAGACTTTTGATATAAATGAAGTGATTTATATTTTTATTTTATTTCATAAGAATATTTCTGTATCGCTTTGTCATTATCATTATATCTCGAAGTATACTTAATTTTATTTTTATTCATTATCCAAATGAAATCGTTAATGTGTCTTCGATTAATGAATTCATCCGATTGTTCTTTCTATGATGTTAATTCTTTTTTTTTTTTTTTTATTTGTTCTTAACACTCGTCGTCCATGTCAGAAGAAGAATTTGATCAATCGAGTAAGAAAAAAGGAATTTAACTTGACCGAGAAGCTCCTGTTTGGGAGGACAGAAAGTTAAAAAGAAAGAGAAAGAGAGGAAGATATGGAAAAAGATGGTCGGTTAACGCGTGCATCAAAAGCAGGCCTCCCCTCATTCAGTTTATCCAAATTAATTGGTCGTAAATTAAGCAGCCGGTCTGACGAGTGTGCGAACGAAAAGAGAAGGAGAATGAGGAAGAGTTAAAGAAAAGGAAAGAAAGATAGGAGAGAAAGAGGTGCGAGAAGGACGTGGATATAAACATTACTTAAGCGAGAAAGAGACAATTATATTAAACCAGTAAAAGAGAAAGAGAAAGAAATATCCCTAGAAAAAATGTTTAAAAAGTCAAGAAAGAAAAAGAATTGAGAAAGAGATATACATACATATATATATGTAAAAACCGGTAGGAGAGAGTAAGAAAGAAAAATATCCCCAAAAAAAAGAAATTTAAGTAAAAAAAATCAACCTACAGAGAAAGAAAAAAAAAGACAGATATGTAAAACCGGTAAGAGAAAATGAGAAAGAAATAGCCGAAAAAAAAAACAAGAAAATAAATAAATAAATTAAGAGAAAAAATGAAGATAGAGAAAGAGAGAGACAGAGAGAAAGAGAGTGAGAGATGGTATGAGAGATAAAATGAGAGAAAGAGATACAGAGGAAAAAAAAAAAAGAATTAGAAAGGCAAAAGACTATCCAGGGACAGTAGCGCATCGACACGCCATTATGTGGCGGCTGGGACTAATTTATACAAGAGAAAGACGAGAATGCCGCGGAAAGTCAATCGTCGCGGTGGACAGCTACCAAGAAACGGGTGTAGATATATATATCTATGTGTGTGCATATGTGTATACACATATATGTAAAAGAAAGAGAGAGAAAGAGAAGTTAGCGGAGAACGGGTATTACTTAAAAGAGAAGACCTCTGTCCTAATTGGGAGGCAGCCACTGTTTTCGACGGGTGTACCGATGCTCGGATTCGTGTCCTCTTGGAGTGGTATAAAGGGAGGACCAAGAAGGTTGGAAAGGAAGGGAGAAAGGGAGGACTACCGAGTGGAGAATTTCGGGGAAAAAGGAAACGGGACACGGTCGATCTTCCTCCCTTCTCGTTGTCTAGAACCTTCGAAAGCAGAGATATGTACCTTTTCTCTCTTTCTTTCTTTCTTTATTTCTTTCTTTCTTTCTTTCCTTATCGGATCGATCCGTGGAATCGATTTCTTTTATATGGAAAAACGAGGAATGAGAGAGAAAGATGGTTAGTGTCTCATGTATTTATGTAAAACTTATGTAAAATAAACGAGATAAATATTTGATTTTGTTCTTTTCCTTTCTTTCTTTCTTTCTTTCATTCTTACTTACTTGCTTTCTTTCTTTATTTCTGAATTAATCGATTGTTAACCGATTTTTCCACGAGGAATCATGATCTCGATGAACGACCAAAGAAAAAAAGGGAATTATAAACTTTGACGAATCGCTAATTGATTATCATTCCCCTTTAATTCGAAGTTAAGTTTTTTAATATATTATCTTTTCCCTTTTTTTCAAATTAATCAATTGTCATTAACCGATTTAATAAGATAAGAGAAAAAAAAAATGAAAAAACTTCCGACGATCACGATGAACTAACCTAAAAAGGATTATGAACTTTGACGAATCGTTAATGATTATCTTCGTCCTCTCTCCCTCCCTCCCTCTTACCGTTCACCCGTCTGACTCGAATTTTCTTACAAAAGTCTTTTTATCTTACGAAGTTTTAATCGTAAATCACTTATAAGAGAAAAAGAGAAGCGCATCATCATCATCTTCTTTTCCTTCTCGAAAGTATCCCGAACACACAGAAAGAGAAACGTAA